CATACTTAACTTCATCAATGACTTGTTGCAACATTATTGTTTGTATTCCTGGAAGTTTTTTATAACCTTGTTTCTAGTGGTGGAGTCAGGCTTTGCTGGATGCACCTTTCTTCATGAAGTGCATAGACTATGATGCTCATGAAACATTGTCCATAGGTTAGCTCTGATCATTAAGATAATGTTGCAGGTGGATTTCAAGAGAATGACAAAGCAAAGAAGATTGTATCTCTTTAAGAACTACTTCCTTTAGAAAAAAGTAATAAGCAGTTAATTTTACAAAAATGTGTTATTACTAGGTTTTAAGGAATGGCCTAAAGCTCCTGACAGTGATCAGTTTACTGTTTAATTGGTAAACGTGTTGTGACTTGGTTCTTTGAAACAAATAAGTTTAGTACCAAGAGTGATTTTGACTGGGGCTTTTCACCAAATTAGTCCATAAAATCAGCAGAACTTCCTTCTGATTTGTGTTCTGTATTGATTATTTGCATCTAGAACTTTCAGGCCTAGAAGGCAATCTACACTTATTCAAAGGAAGTAGCCTTTGGATAAAAAATCTTAGGAGCTCCCTGATGCACTAAAGGGTACTGTAGAATTTTTCAAAATGTTATGTATGTATATTGGAGATGGCTGAGGCTCACTTGAAAATAAGTAGGTCTCTTTCTGTTTCCCTTGTAAAGTCACTTCCTTGTGTGGTACAGGATTCCATTCTGTTTGGAGAAAAGGACCCTAGTTCAGAAATAAAATGGCATGAACGATATGTTCGGATTTTAGTTCCTGTGCAAGTTAGTCTTCAGACGTCACTTGATCTGAAACCGGGAAAAGCTTAATGATGGAAAGGCTGAGTATACAAGAAATACATGCTACAAAAAAAATCTAAAATAATGAGCCGAGCTGAGCTAACATAAAGATGGTGTTGTGGCAAACAGTTTGTAGATTCATAAAGCTTGCTAGAGAAAAAGGAAAAATGTTTCTAGCCAACAACAAACTATTTTTGTACAACTATAAATCTTTTAATGAGGTTGCTAAAATATAATTCAAAATTTACACTTTTCATACCTATATTCAATGTGGGAAGCTAATCTGTAAAATTCTTGCTGATCTGGATAATCTGAATTAAGATGAATAGTAAAGTAGGGCTCTTAGTAGGATCTGAAACCCAACAGACATTTTTCTTAAACCTGAGTTGTCAGGTCTTTTTTTTTAAGATGCCTGAGGCTATTGCATTTTAAGAAGACAGAGCTTTTGTTTTTGAGGTGGCCTAGAAAAAAAATGTGATGGATGAATCTAAAGCAAAGGTTTTTGGAAGTTGTCTTTTGCGATTAAGCCGATTTTGCTGTTGTATGCAAGAATACGTCAATATTTCTTGCGTGGTGTGAACTGTCTCTCTTTCTACCAATACCAGTTTATTTTATTTTTAATGTTTTTGCTGATGTTAATTCAGGTGAGTAATAGTATCTAGTGCCTCTGACTCAGAAGTGTGTACTTTAATTAGAAGGTCAGATTTCGACAAGCTGCATCTCTGATGTAAACTTAATCCTGTCTGTTGTAAAGTATGTATAATTAAGGTGACATGAGTGCAGAGAGTGATTTAAGAACAGCCGTCTGGCATTCAATAGCATTAGCATGTGAATGTAAGATTATACTGTTAAAGATAAGGCACTAGTATTTTTAAGCAGAGGACTATTAATGACATAAATTGGGATGAAAGTAGAGCTAACTGTACTATATGTATTTTATGTCATCTCCAATTCCAGTGGAAGCAATTGCACATAATTGCAAAAAGATTCCCCCCCCCCAACCCCCCAAATGTAACTTCTGCTGTGTCCTGTTGCTAGTCTGTGGGCAGAAGGCAAAGGCCATTGAAGGGAATAGGACTTCTTGTACTGGCTTTGGGTCAGACTATGGGAGTTAGTAACAGACCAGGTGTACTAAAAGTAAACATCATAAGCATGACTGACAATGCAGTCTGAACTTCTTGGGCTTTCATAATGATGGGTGCAAGAAGGTAGCTGTAGCTAATAAAGTGCTAGCAGAATTGGAGATAATTGTGTCCACTTTAATAATGAGATGATAGAAGAAGGAACTCGTTCTCAACTAAAAGCCCTAAAAACTTTCTGGTTAGAATAACAATATTGAGAAGAAGTGATAGCATTAAAAGACCATAAATAGTCCTTCGGTGACACCTCATTAGTTAATTAATGAAAGAGGTTCTGATACTGTAGAGGTAGAGTTCTGAAATAAGCCCCCCTCCTCTGAAAGAGCTGCTCTCCCCTTCTTGTGTATAGGTTTTTTTTATTCTAAATCCAACTAAATTTAGAAAGGTGGCTAATTAGAGTGGCTTAGCTTGCTTGCAAGAAGTTAAAGAAGTACTGGTTGGATGAATGGTCTGTAAAGTGGATTGGGAATTGGCTGGATCTTTGAGCTCAAAAGGTAGTAGTCAATGTCTCAATGTTTCACTGGCAGCCAGTATCAAGTGGAGTGCCTCAAGGGTTGGTCCTGGGGCTGGGTTTTTTTTCAATATGTTCATTAACAACCTGGAAAATGGGGTGGAGTACCTTCTCCAGATTGATGTAATCTGTAAATTTGCTGAGGGAGTAGTAGATATCTGGAGGGTAGGGCTAGATTTCAGAGTGACCTAGACAATTGAAGGATTGGACCAAAATAAATCTTTTATATGAGGCTCAAAAAGAACAAGTGCAAAGTCCTACACTTAGGATGGAACAGTCCCAGGCACCAGTACAGGCTGGAGGCTGACTGGTTAAGCAGCAGCTCTTTAGAAAAGGATGCGGGGGGTTACACTAGCAATAAGCTGAATATAAGCTACCAGTGTCCCTTGTTGTGAAGAAGGCTAATGGCATACTGGGCTGCATTAGTAGGAGTATTGCCAGCAGGTCAAGGGAAATGATTCTTTTAACTAAAGCTTGTTCGACAAGCTTTAAAGCAACCCCACCATCACTTTGCAGTGTGGGATGCTGAATACATGACATGCTGTTGACACTTGTAATTACAGAGGCTCCCAAGAACCTCTCTAATTTGAAACGTCCCCCTTTTCCCCTGCCTCCCCTCCCCACCCTGGAACGTGTAAAGACACTCTTGTACTGTCTAGTTT